TAAATATTTTTATATGTTGCAGTGATTGTAGGCACATAACAAATTTGTTTATGTAAAAATTACAGAATTTTACTTTAAACATTGTGTAGAAATATTGGTACTCAGATGATTTTCTTAGGTATTTGTGAAATTATTTTCATAATGATAAGTGTAGGGTGGAAGGCAATAAGAAATATTTTTTGAAATATATAAGAAATGAATAAGTCAAGTTCATTGTTTTGTATCTTTCATTGCAGCTGAGTATTAGATACTACATAGGTCTCCTCTAGACCATTAATTACTAAGAGACCTTTTGCAAGATTACTATTTTCAGCTAATAAAATACAATTATCTTTAAAAAGTTTTTCATTGAAGTATAGTTGATTTAAAATGTTGTTTTAGGTGCACAGCAAAGTAATTCGGTGTTTTATAAATACATATGTATGTATGTATGTATAAATTTTCCAGATTCTTTTCCATTATAGATTATTACAAGATATTGAATATACTTCCATGTGGTTTATGGTAGGTTCTTGTTGTTTATCTATTTTATATGTATATTAGTGTGTATCTGTTAATCTTAAATTCCTAATTTATTACTCCTCCCCCTTCCCCTTTGGCCACCATAAGACTGTTTCTATGTCTGTGAGTCTGTTTCTGTTTTCTAAATAAGTTCTTTCGTGTCACTTTTATAGATTCCACAAATAAATTATGTGTCTTACGCTAATTCTCTTTCTCTGACTTAATTGACTGAGTATGATAGTCTCTAGGTCCATTCTTGTTGCTGCAAATGGCATTATTTCCTTCTTTTTTATGGTTGAGTATTCTGTGTACACACACACACACCACATCTTTATCCATTGATTTGTTGATGGACATATGGACATTTAGGTTGCTTCCATATCTTCGCTGTTGCAAATAGTACTGCTGTGAACATTGGGGTGCGTGTATCTTTTCAAATTAGAGTTTTTGTCTTTCCTAGGAGTGGGATTGTGGGATCTTATAGTAACTCTAATTTCGGTCTTTTAGGAACCTCCATACTGTTTTCCATAGAGGCTGCACAAATTTACATTCCCACCAACAGTCTACAAGTGTTCCTTTTTCTCCGCACCCTCTCCAAAATTTCTTATTTGTAGGCTTTTTTTTCTTTAAAAATTTTTTTTTATTGAATTATAGTCATTCTATAATGTTCTGTCATATTCCAGTCCAGAGCACAATTTTTCAGTTATACATGAACATACATACATTCATTGTCACATTCTCTTGTGCTGTGAGCCACCACAAGATCATGTATATATTTCCCTGTGCTACAGTACAATCTTGTTTATCTATTCTGCATTTTAAAATCCCAGTCTGTCCCTTCCCAACCCCCATTCCCCTGGCAATCACAAGTTTGTATTCTATATCTCTGAGTATATTTCTATTTTGTATTTATGCTCTTTTTGGGGGTTTTTTGTGTGGTTTTTTTTTTTTTTTGGGGTTTCTGCATATCAGCAATCTCACATGGTAGTTTTCTTTCCCTTTCTGGCTTACTTCACTTAGAATGACATTCTCCAGGAACATCCAGGTTGCTGCAAATGGCATTATGTTGTCTGTTTTTATGGCTTAATAGCATTCCATTGTATAAATATACCTCTTCTTTATCCAGTCATCTGTCGATGGACATTTAGGCTGTTTCCATGTCATGGATATTGTAAATAGTGCTGCTATGAACATTGGAGTGCAGGTGTCATCCTGAAGTAAGGTTCCCTCTGGATATATGCCCAGGAGTGGGATTCCTGGGGCCTATGGTAAGTCGATTCCTAGTCTTTTCACAAGTCTCCGTAGTATTTTCCACAGTGGCTGCGCCAAACTGCTATCCCACCAGCAGTGTAGGTGGGTCCCCTTTTCTCCATAGCCTCTCCAGCATGTGTCATATGTGCACTTTTGAATGATGGTCATTGTGACTGATGTGAGGTGCTACCTCATTGTATTTTTGATTTCCATTTCTCTGAAATTAGTGATATTGAGCATTTTTTCATGTGCCTATTGATCATTTGTATTTCTTCCTTGGAGAATTGCTTGTTTAGGTCTTCCGCCCATTTTTGGACTGGCTTGTTTGTTTTTTAGTTATTCAGTTGTATGAGCTGTTTATATATTCTGGAAATAAAGCCTTTGTCAGTCGAAACATTTGCAAAGATTTTCTCCCATTTCGTAGGTTGTCTTTTTGTTTTGCTTATGGCTTGCTTGGCTGTGCAAAAGTTTGTAAGTTCAGTTAGGTCCGATTCGTTTATTTTTGCTTTTATTTCGATTGCTTGGGTAGACTGCCCTAGGGGAACATTGCTGAGGTGTATGTCAGATCATGTTTTGCCTATGGTTTCTTCTAAGAGGTTTCTAGTATCTTGTCTTATGTTTAAGCCTTTAATCCAATTTAAATGTATTTTTGTGTATGGTGTGAGGGAGTAGGCTAACTTCATTGATGTACATGCAGCTGTCCAGTTTTCCCTACACCACTAGCTCAAGAGACTGTCTTTGCTGCATTGTATGTTCTTGCCTCCTTTGTCAAAGATTAATTGCCCAAAGGTTGGGGGGTTTATTTCTGGGCATTCTGTTCTGTTCCAGTGATCCATATGTCTGTTCTTCTAGGAATGCCATGGATGACTATAGCTCTGTAATATTGTCTGAAGTCTGAGAGGGTTGTTCCTCCAGCTTCGGTCTTTTTCTTCAGTAGAACTTTGGTAACTCTGGGTCTTCTGTGATTCCATATAAATTTTAGGATGATTTGTTGCAGTTTTGTGGAAAATGCCCTGGGTGATATGATAGGGTTCGCATTACATCTGCAGACTGCTCTGGGCAGGATGACCATTTTAACAATGTTAATTCTTCCAGTGCAAGAACCTGGGATATCTTTCCGTCCTTGAAGTCCTCTTTAGTTTCCGTAGTCAGTGTTTTGTAGTTCTCCGCATGTAAGTCTTTCACGTTCTTGGTCAGATTTATTCCTAAGTATTTTATTTTTTGGATGCAATTTTAAAAGTGTTTATTACTTTCGTGTGAAGCCAGGCCCCTGACGTCTGTGTGTGGATGTTGTGTGCTGCTGCCTTGCCGGGTAGTAGCTCTAGTAGTTTCTGTGTGGAGCCTTCAGGATTTTCTCTGTATAGTATCATGTCACCCACATATAATGACACTTTGACCTTTACTTTTCCAGCTGGGATCCCTTTTATTCTTCTTCTCATTTGATTGCTATGGCTAGGAACTCTAAAACGATATTGAATGGAAGTGGTGAGAGTGGGCATCCTTCTTTTGTTCCAGATTTTAGCAGAAAGGGTTTCCGCTCTCTTGGTAGGGTATTGTGGTGACTGTAGGTTTGTCATAATAGCTTTTATTATGTTGAGACATGTTCCCTCTATACCCACTTTAGTACGACCACGGGCGCAGTGCGGCCAGGGGGCTGGGAAGATGGCAGAGGCCGTAGCCCTGGCGGCATGGGGAGGGGGGCTGCCGAGTGGGAGGCAGTCATTTGCCCCCATCTGCTCTGCGGCCTGGCGGGGTGCGGTCTCTGCTGCCCAAGGTTCGTCTTTAGGTCACACTGCTCCCTAGAGGCCTGTGTGGTCCAGTCAGGGAGCAGCGGGGACGATGACAGGTGTGGCAGCTGTGGAGGTGGAATAAGGGGGGGCTTTCTTGTGAGAGCTGGGGGATTTGTTCCCACCTTCCCCGCGGCCTGGCCTGGGGGCGGCCT